GCTGAAGGCAGCAAATGGAATAGGATTTGATTTTTTCCCATTGGGAAAAGATGAGGCAATCTTCACTTGGAGATGGAATTATTTTCTTATGTTAGGTAGAGCTCATTTGAAATTGCATATGTGGCAAAAACAATGTGTTTGTGTGATTATCAGCCAGTGATTGTATAGTAACACCATTTTTGTTTTTGCCTCCCTAACATACATTTTCCCTTTTTCAGAGGCCAGTTTATTCATTTCCTTCAGAAAATCATTCCACGAACACTCTTAGTTTGAAGATTGGATAACCTCAGCTCCCAGTCTCTATAGATAGACACATGATAAGTTCTGGCCAATTTTAACCCTTTGGTGACCCAGTTATTTTCTATTTTGAATTTTTTCTTGATACTGTATGTTTTCACTAATGGAAGCATGCTGAATCATTGAGTGTGTCTGAATTTTTGTTAGGTAGTATGGATTTTTTTTCTTGACCCTCCCATAAACATACCCTAAGTGTTTAGTGGTACATAAGAATTACCACTAATAATACCCTTGAGTCCTCATTGGGGTTTATTAGTACATATGCTAACAAAGAAAAATTTTCTATTTTTCCTACCAAAAGTTCAACACCTCATACAATACCCTGTAAAAACAGTAATGTGTGGCACACAACCATTTCTTCAGTTTCAAACAGTCATAAAGGCCCCTGACTTGTGGCAGCACATGCTATCACTGGTACAGCAGCTTCCCAATAAACCCCAGAGGGTGAAAAAGTTCATGGTCACTATACGTACCAGCAGGCATTAAGAGGATCATCTTTTAGAGAACTAAAATTGTAGATTAAGGATATTTGGAATGGATGTAAATCAATCCATTGACTCTCTCAGACATTTTGATCCTATATATTTAGTTGTGTCATACATGAATGTCAAGGTCTCTGACAAAACAAAAATAGAGTCCAAAGAGATGAGCAAGTCAGGAGATTTGAGCAGTTAATGGTATCGACACAGAAGGAGAGTAAAAATAAAATTCAAATTTTAATAATCCTCCATAAATTTAAAAGGATTGAAATCATATGAAGCATGTTCTCCAACCACAATAGAATTAAATTGGAAATCAGTTAGCAAAAATTTTTGGAAATTCACAAGTAACTAGACACTAAACAACACACTCTTAATAACCAATGAGTCAAAGAAGAAATCACAATGGAAATAGAAAATGCTTTAAGATAAATAAAAATGAAAACACAACATACCGAAACTTATGGGATGCAATGAATGCAATGCTTAGAGGAAAATTTACAACTTTAAATGCCTATATTTAAAAAACAAAGGATCTCAAATTAATAACCTCACCTTCCACCTTAAGACACTAGAAAAAGAAGAGCAAACTAAACCCAAAGGAAGCAGAAGAAACATTAAAGAAGAAATTAATGAAATAGAGAATAGAAAAACAATAGATAAAATCAATGGAATCAAAAGTCGGTCCTTTGAAAAGATCAACAAAATTGACAAACTTTTAGAAAGACTTACCAAGAGAAAAAGATAGAAGACTAAAATTAGGACTGAAAAGAAGGACATTACTAGTGACTTTACAGAAATAAAAAAGATTATAAGAGAATACTATGAAAAACTGTATACCAACAAATTAGATAACTCAGATAAATGGACAAATTCTTAGAAAGACACAACATAATTAAACTGACTCAAAAAGAAACAGAAAATCTGAATAGACCTGTAGTAAGTAAAGTGATTGAATTAGTAATCAAAAAATTTCTCACAAAGAAAAGTCCAGGCCTACATGGTTTCATTGGTGAATTCTACCAAACACATAGAATTAATATCAACTCTTACAAATTCGTCCAAAAAACAGAAAATTAGAAAACACTTCCTAACTGATTCTATGGGTTTAATATTGCTCTGATTCCAAAACCAAAGACCGCACACAAAAAAGAGAAAACCGCAGAACCAGTAGGAAATATACATTAAGAGATTTATGGCAAAGAATTGACTTATACTATTGTAGGGGTTGGCTAGTTTGAAATCCACAAGGTAGGCCATCAGGGAGGGAAGGCTGGAACTCTTTGGCACTGGCTAAAGCTGCTATCCCTGGGCAGAATTTCTTCTTCATCAGCGAAGCCTCAGTTCTGCTCTTAAGGCCTTTCAACTGATAGAATCAGTCCCACCCAGATTATCCAGGATAATCTCTCATTTAAAGTCAACTGATCATGGAATTAATCACAGCTACAAAATACCTTCACAACAATATATAGATTAGGGTTTAATTGAATAATAGGAGTGTAACCTATGAAGAAGAACGGGGCATCAGCATTGGAGGAAGACTCATTAACAACCTGCAATATGCAGATGACACAACCTTGCTTGCTTGAAGTGAGGAGGACTTGAAGCACTTATTGATAAAGATTAAAAAAAAAAAAGATCACAGCCTTCAGTAATGATTACACCTCAACATAAAGAAAACAAAAATCCTCACAACTGGACCAATAAACAACATCATGATAAACAGAGAAAAGATTGAAGTTGTCAAGGATTTCATTTTACCTGAATCCACAATCAATGCCCACGGAAGCAGCAGTCAAGAAATCAAATGATGCATTGCATTGGACAAATCTGCTGCAAAAGATCTCTCTAAAGTGTTAAAAAGCAAAGATGTCACTTTGAGGCCTAAGGTGTGACTGACCCAAGCCATGGTATTTTCAATTGCCTCATATGCATGTGAAAGCTGGACGATGAATATGGAAGACCAGAGAAGAATTGATGCCTTTAAATTATGGTGTTGGCGAAAAATATTGAATATACTATGGACTGCCAGAAGAACAAACAAATCTTAGAAGAAGTACAGCCAAAACACTCCTTAGAAGCAAGGATGGCAAGCCTTCGTCTCACATACTTCGGACCTGTTGTCAGGAGGGACCAGTGCCTGGAGAAGGACATCATGCTTGGTAAAGTAGAAGGTCAGTGAAAAAGAAGACCCTCGATGAGATGGATTGACACAGTGACTGCAACTATGGACTCAAACACAGCAACAATTGTCAGGATGGTGCAGGACCGGACACACCTTAGGCCTCAAAGTGACATCTTTGCTTTTTAACACTTTAAAGAGATCTTTTGCAGCAGATTTACCCAATGCAATGCGTTGTTTGATTTCTTGACTTCTGCTTCCAAGGGAGTTGACTGTGGATCCAAGTAAAATGAAATCCTTGACAACTTCAATATTTCTCCCTTTATCATGATGTTGCTTATTGGTCCATTTGTGAGGATTTTTGTTTTATTTATGTTTATGTTTTTATGTTATGTTATTTATGTTTTATTTATGTAATCCATACTGAAGGCTGTAGTCTTAGATCTTCATCGGTAAGTACTTCAAATCCTCTTCACTTTCCGAAAGCAAGGTTGTGTCATCTGCATATCACAGGTTATTAATGAGTTTTCCTCCAATCCTGATGCCATGTTCTTCTTCATCTATTCCAGCTTCTCAGATTATTTGCTCAGCATACAGACTGAATAAGTATGGTGAAAGGATACAACCGTGACGCACACCTTTCCTGACTTTAAACCACACAGTATCTCCTTGTTCTGTTCGAATGACTGTCTCTTGATCTATGTACAGGTTCTGCATCCCCCGAGCACAATGTATCTAATAAGAAGCTTATATATAGAATCTATAAGGAATTCTTACAACTCAATAATAAAAAATAAGTAACTCAATTTAAAAATGGGCAAAGAACTGGAATATACATTTTTCCAAAGAAGATATATAAACAGTCAATAGTTGTTGTTAGTTGCCATCAAGGCAATTCCAATTCATGGCAACCCTGTGTGTGCAGACAAGAACTGCTCCATAGGGTTTTCAAGGCTATGGAAACAGACTGCCAGGCCCATCTTTCAAGGAGTCTCTGGGTTGGTTCAAACTGCCAACCTTTCAGCTAGTAGTCAAGCACTTAGCCATTTGTGCCACGCAGGGACTCCTAAAAGGCCAATAAACAAACACTGAAAAGATGCTCAACATCGTTAGTCATTGGAGAAATGCAAATCAAAATACAGTAAGGTACCATTTCACACCCACTAACCCATTGCTGTCGAGTGAATTCCAGCTCATAGAGACCCTGTAGGACAGAGTAGAATTGCCCCGTAGGATTTCCAACACTGTAATCCTTATGGAAGCAGACTGTCACATCTTTTTCCTAAGGAGCAGCTGGTGGGTTTGAACCACCCACCTTTCGGTTAGCAGCCGAGTATTTAACAACTGTGTCACCAGGGCTCATTTCACACTCACCAGGATGGTTATAATTAAAAATACAGATAATAACAAGTGTTGGCAAGGATGTGGAGAAATCGAAACCCTCATACATTGTTGATGGGATTGTAAAATCACACAGCCGCGTTGAAAAACAATCTGGCAGTTCCTCAGAAGGTTGCCATATGATCCAACAATTCCACTACGAGGTATATACCCAAGAGAAATGAAAACATATGTCCACAGAAAAATTTGTATAAGAATGTTCATAGCAGCATTATTCACAGATAAATAAAATGTAGCATATCCATGCAATGGAATATACTTGGCTGTAAAAGGGAATGAAGTAGTTATGGTCAAATTTCTTCTTGTTAGATTTTTGGGTCTAAAGTCTTAATTTATATTACCTTATTCATTCTTACAGGTGAGTACATGCCTGCTTAGATCCAGCTGGGCAGACAGCCAAAGTAAATAAACTATAGATTCTTCCCACCAGCAGCCCACAGCATACAGGATGACATCAGGTGTGATGAGAAAGAACATGCTGTGTCTCTAAATTCCATGTGGGGATAACGTGGGTGGCCTCAAATTTCCTGTGCCTGCCCACATGATACAAAATCTACAGTGCAGAACTTTGGGGGCACACATCATATCATACCATCTGTTCTGGTTCAGTGTATAAGACTCCAATTCTCTGAGGAAGGTGGCATACTGTGCAGTTTACTGGACCAAGAGCTTTAGCTGCTACTCCTCTGGGAAGCCTGGCCATGAGGCTCCTCCTGATTATCACAATTCTGCTGTTTCAGAAGTTCACAGGTAACCCAGAGCTTTCCAGAGGCTCATTCAAATCTACAATGGAATCGTGGTAATTTCAAGAGCCAAAGGGGATTTCATAATCCATATTAGGGGAGATAGGACCCTCAAAGATGACTGAAGTCAGCCCAATGTCATCAGAAATTCCCTCTTACCAGGGCTGTCTACCGTGGGACTGTTCTCAAAAGGACACTCACAGAGTTGAAAAGAGTCACAGTTTCCTCTGAGAAGGCTTGTTTGTAGGAAAGAATGAGCCCAATATCCAGACATACCCTTACTTCTTTGGGTACAGGCTTACGCTGGGACCCAGCCATATTTTTTCCTCTCAAGTGTAGGAGTAGTGGAAAAAGCATCAACTTTGGAGTCAAGTTTGAGAATTCTGAAACACGCCTTCAATGCCTACTAGTTTGTCAATTTTGGATAAATGGTGAAGACTCTCTGAGCCTCAGTTTCCTCATCTGTGGAGATAATGAGACCTGGCTCATAGGAGTTTTATTAACCGATATGACATATGTGAAGCACCCAGCATAGGCCTTGGCACACTCTAAGAGCTTAAAAATGAGAAATTTTTTCCTCATTCAAAACCAAATCTCTTAAACAACAAGAAAATAAATTAAATTAAAAAACAAGACACAGAAGCTGGATATGCTTTTTGGCTATTTTTACTAACCAAATTTTATAATGGTAAATAATATTAATCTTAATCTTATAACCAAAGGGTATTGACCCTTGTAATATAGAAATAAACCTTGAGTTTCAAGTGTTAAAAAAAAAAAAAAAACTCTTTCATTTGTCACTATTTATAAAAATAGTAATGGTCTATCCTTGGATCCCTAAATTTCTAAGAATTAACAGAGTTCTAGAACCTGGAGTCGAAGGGATTGTTTTTGTCCTTAGTCTTCATCCTCTGGGGTCTAGTCCAGGGGAGAGTACAAGCCTAGATGCGGAAATATGAACATCCCAACTCTTAGATCACTGAAAGCATTTACTATTAATAAAGGAAAGAATATATATGGAGTTGAGCAAAGGTCTGGGACTGAAAATTGGAGGAATTCTTGCCTCTGGAGCTGAAAGGAGAATGAGGAGTCATAGAGGGATAAAACAAGTCCAAGAATCAGAAGAACATCCAGATTATTGCGATGACATAGAAGCCAAAAGATGAGATGCATTTGCAAGAGTATAAAATTCTGAAAAGTAGTAAGGGGGGGGGGTCCCTGAGCAGCCCAAACAGTTAAGCACTTGACTACTAACCAAAAAGTTGGTGCCTCATACCCATTCAGAGGTGCTTCAGAAGAAAGACCTGAAAATCTGCTTCTAAAAGGTCACAGCCTTGAAAACCCCATGGAGTGCATTTCTAATGTTCACACATGGGGTGACCAGGGGTTGGAATTGACTCAATGGCAACTAGTTTGGTTTTCTGTTCGGAATAGGGGAGGAAGACATCGGGAGAAAAAAATACCTGACTGGATAAGATGAAAGTCATCCTTGACTGTGGTAGCGGGTATGAACTCAAAAGCATAGTTTGACTCAGACATGAATACATAATAACAACTTATTGTTCTCTGGGCATCAGGGATAGAGCAGTGGTAAGGTAGTGATGTCCTAGGAGCATTTAGGATGGAGGCATATTTGCTGGGATTCCCAGATAGGACATAGTTCCATCACCTGGAAGCAAGGATTGAGCTCCTTTATTTTCTCAAACAAGATCGGATTGTCTTGGTGGAGTCCATCAGATGTTGGAGAGAAGTCCAAAATATCAGAGAACCTAAATATGAGTAAGCCAGTTAGACAAACGATGACGTTCACCTTCCTGGAGAATCCTTCTTGGGATATTATGGGGAAATGCCTTGTGGATGTGCCCTGCGCCTAACCCCTACAAGCCTTTTCTGCCTTCCTCCTGACCCAAGTTGCCTTTCACTCTCAAGTACTAACCTTGGCCTATTGTTCTTCTCTGTACACAGTCACTGAACAGCTTAAAAAATGCTGGAGTAGCTATGTGCAAGGACGCTGCAGGAAAATCTGCAAAGTTACTGAAATGCGGGAGGTATTATGTGAAAATGGGAGGTATTGTTGCCTCAATATCAAGGAAGTGGAAGCACGTAAAAGAATTACAAAGCGTCCTCGTCCAAAGCCGATAACATATGCACTGACTTTGCCTCAAGATTATGATACATCAATGGAAAATAGCTCATACCCTAACCCAGATTCTCCATAAATCAAGTACAATTTTTTCATTTGTTTCTCACCTATTCCAATAAACTAAGGTGAAGAAATTTACATCTTCTCATTTCTGTTTCCTTAGTCCCCAGAATGATCTTCAAGCACATTCTAATAAAGCTCATTGGCCAGTTTTCTGATTCATTTGTTCTTTAACCAGAAATTGAATGCAACTGTATCCCAGGTGATGGGTTGATAAAGACAACTCAAAACCTTCCTTTGCAAAGGGGAAGATACAACCTGTGCAGTAAAACAACTGTAACATCGAAAGACTGGAATGAGAAACTCAGAAAAAATTGACATGAAATTCTGGAGAGGGAAAGGTGAGGCTGAGTATTCAGGGAAAATCCATGAGTGAGTGTAGGATAAAAGTGGTGCCTTGTGAGATGTGTAGGATTTCAACAGACAAGTGTTAGCAGGGAAGGCAGTTTGAGTAGATAGAAAGGTATCAATAAATGAAATGAAATTGGAAAAGACACAGACATTTATGGAGAATATACATGCACTTTGGTTGGTTGGCAAATAGAGCACTCCAAGTTGAGCTATGAGGAAGTCTAATTTCTTGTGCTTCTGTGTATTGAAGTGAGTTTGGAAAATAGAGATGAATAAGACCCCACTATAACGGAATTCAAAATATAAGTTGGAGGCAGACATAAATAAATAATTCCAAGACAGAAGTTTTTAGTTGTTTTGTTTTTTTATTGTTATTGTTTATATAATGCATCCTTTTGGTAATTGGGGGCCTTTTGAAGTTTGGGGAAAATGTAAAGGAGCTAGAAATTGGTCTGAATTGTATGGTATGAGATTTTACTGCTGTCTTGATGTGCAAGACAACAGAAGAACAATCCATGAATATATTCCACCTAGTTCTTAGAGATGTAGCTTTTGAATATAAACAACATGAAAAATTTTCTTCCTCAGCTGCATTTCATACCCATTTTCCAGTTTTATTTATTTCATTTCACCATAGTAATTATAAGCATTTTAAAGATTTTGTTCATCTGCTGTAACATCCACTACTAGTTTGTTCTGTTAATTATCTCTTGTTTTAGGGCTGGGGCAGGGAATATACAAGATGAGCCTAGGGCATCTTGTAGTGCCAGAAAGTAAGGAAATGCTTTAAAATATCAAAAAGATGAAGGCATGTTAAATGGACACAGGAGCCAATCTGAAAGAACACTGAATGGCCAAAACTGGAACAATTTGAACAATAAAATAAATAATGTAGCATTGGCTTATAATCCAAGTATGAAATAAATACCCATGAACCCATACTAAATAAATAACGTAAATAAAACATTGAATAAATAAACAAATTGGTGAGACGATAGAGCTCCCATACAGAAGAATTCTAAGTAATTTATGGAGATAACTCCCTTCTCAAGAGAGTATCAAGTATCAGGTTTACCCTCCCTCCCCTTGGAGTGTGGGCTGTTTAGTGACTTGTTTCCAAAGAGTACAGTATGGAAAGGGGTGAAAATAATTTTATAGTGGAGAAACCTGACAAACACTACCTTGGCCATGGTTAACATTCTCAGTGAGAAGCCATGTGGATAGCGTGAACTTGTGACATGATGTAATAAGAATGGCACTTCACCTCTGTTGTCCTCCCAAAAACTCATAACCCCAGTTTAACAATGAGAAAAACATTTAAGAATTAAAAAAAAGAAAAAAAAACCAAAGTGACTGTCATGGATTGAATTGTGTCCCCCAGAAACACCTGTCAACTTGGCTGGGCCATGATTCCCAATATTGTGTGACTGTCCACCGTTTTGTCGTCTGATGTGATTTTCCTATGTGTTGTAAATCTTATCTCTATGATGTTGATGAGATGGGATTAGCAGCAGTTATGTTAATGAGGCAGGACTCAATCTACAAGATCTAATTGTGTCTTGAGCCAATCTCTTTTGAGATCTAAAAGAGTGAAGCTAGCAGAAAGACATGGGGATCTCATACCACCAAGAAAGTAAAGCCAGGAGTGCGTGTCCTTTGGACCTGAGGTCGCTGCTCTGAGAAGCTCCTAGTTCAGGGGAAGATTGATGATAAAGACCTTCTTCCAGAGCCGACAGACAGAGAAAGCATTCCCCTGGAGCTGACACCTTGAATTTGGACTTGCAGCCTACTAGACTGTGAGAGAATAAAGTTCTGTTTGTTGAAGCCATCCACGTGTGGTATTTCTGTTACAGCAGCACTAGATGACTAAGACAGGGACAATCTGCAAAATACCAGTACTCCTCAAAACTGTTAAATTCATCAAAAACAAGGAAAATTTAAGAAACTGTCACAGACCAGAAGAGGCTAAGAAGACATGACAATTAAATGTAATGTGGTATCATGGATGAGATCCTGGAACAGAAAAAGGACTTTAAGGAAAAACTAGTGAAGCCAGAATAAGCATAGAGTTTAGTTAATAATAATGTACCAGTGTTGGTCCTTAGTGGTGACAAATGCACCATGAAAAAAACAGTTAAAAAAAATCCAATTAGAAAACGAGCAAAAGAAACGACTACGCATTTTCACTAAAGAGGATGTACAGATGGCAAATAAGTACATGAAAAGATGTTCAACATCCTTAGCTATTAGAGAAATGCAAATGAAAACCACCGTGAGATACCAATTCACATCCGCTAACACAGCTATAGTCAAAAAAGACAGATAATAACAAGTGTTGACAAGAATGTGAAGAAACTGGAACTCCCATACATTGCTGGTGGGAAAGTAAAATGATGTAGCTGCTTTGGAAAACAGTATGGCAGTTCCCCACAAAGTTAAACACTGAGTTACCATATTATCCAGTAATTCCATTTCTATGCACATAGACAAGAGAATTGAAAGCATATGTTCACACAAAAACTTGTACATGAACGTTCATAGCAGCATTATACATATTCGCCAAAAAGTAGAAACAAACCCAATGTGCATCAGCTGATGAACTGAGGGATTCCTAGGGCTGCTGTAACAAATTAACACAAACTAGGTGACTTAAAACAACAGGAATGTAAAACTTTGACCAAAAACACAATAAAATATTATTTAAAAACCAAGAATTTATTCTCTTACAGTTCTGGGGGCCAGAAGTCTGAAATCAAGGTATAGGCAGAATCTCACTCTTTCCAGAGGCTCTAGGGGAGAATTCACTCTTTGTCTCTTCCAGCTCTTGGCTGGCTGTTGGGATTCTTTGGCTGCACTTCTCTCTCTGCTCTGACTTCACATTACCTTCTCCTCTGTGCATGTAGTGGTGAATCTCCACTGCTTGTCTTTCATAAGGATACAAGTGATTGCATTTAGGGCCTACCTGGATAATTCAGGATAAGCAGATGACACAACCTTGCTTGTCTTAAGTGAAGATGACTTGAAGCACTTACTGATGAATATCAAAGACTGTAGCCTTCAGTATGGGCTACACTTCAACATAAACAAAATGAAAATCCTTACAACTGGATCAATAAACAGTACCACGATAAATGGCAAAGAAATTGAATTTGTCAAAGATTTCATTCTTTTTGGATCAAAAATCAGTGCCCATGGGTCTTAAAAGCTTGCAACTGACCATCCAAGGTGCAGTGATTGGTATCTATTCACCTGAATCAACAGAGGAAGAAGGGGAGTCAGCAATAGGAGGAGAAAATGGAATGTGTTGCAAATTGCCTCCATGAACAACTACCTCCTTTGCCATGAGATCAGAAGAAGTGGCTACCTGGTGCCTGGCTACCATTACTGAACATTTTGATCAAAGATTCTATAGAAGAATAGAATCTTCAAAAGGGGGGAAATGTAGAACAGAATTTCAAATTCTCATGGACTCCAGACTTTGTGGAATCATGGAGGCTGGATGAAGCCCTGAAACTATTGCCCTGAGATAATCTTTAAACCTTAAACCGAAAATATCCCCTGAAGTCTTCTTAAAACAAAACAATAATTTAGCTTAACTAGTAAAAAAAAGTCTGCCTTGAGCATTATGTTCTTTTAAGAATTATCTGTATGGGATCAAATGTACAATAGCAACTCGAAAGATTAGATAGGAACATTAGTGGGCAGTGAGTTTGCATTAATGGGGGAAAAACAACTCAGAAAAGGAGGGTGAGAATGGTTGCACAACTTAAAGAATGTAATTAGTGTCACTGAATTATACATATAGAAACTGTTGCATTGGTATATGTTTTGATGTGTATATTCTCAAAAACGACTAAATAAATAAAATTTTAAAAAATCAATGCCCATGGGAGCAGCAATCAAGAAATCAAATGATGTATTGCATTGAGCAAATCTGCAAAAGACCCGTTTAAAGTGCTAAAAAGCAAACATGTCACTTTGATGACTAAGGTGCACCTGACTCAAGCCATAGTATTTTCAATCACCTCATATGCATGCAAAATCTGGACAATGAAAAAGGAAGACTGAAGAATTGACACATGAATTGAATATTGAATATACCATGAACTGCCAAAAGAACGAATAAATCCATCTTAAGAGGAACTACAGCCTGAATGTTCCTGTTATGGATTGAATTGTGTCCCCCAAAAATGTGTGTCACCTTGGCTAGGCCATGATTCCCAGTATTGTGTGGTTGTCCTCCATTTTGTGATCTGATGTATTTATCCTATGTTTTGTAAATCCTAACCTCTATGATGCTAATGAGACAGGATTAGAGGCAGTTATGTTAATGTGGCAGGATGCAACCTACAGGATTAAATTATATCTTGAGTCAGTCTCTTCTAAGATATAAGAGAATTGAGCAGAGAGGAAAGGGGACCTCCTACCTCCAAGAATGAAGAGCCAGGAGCAGAGCATGTCCTTTGGACCCAGAGTCCCTGTGCTGAGAAACTCCTAGACCCAAGGGAAGATTGATAACAAGGACCTTCCCCCAGAACTGAACGAGAGAGAAAGCCTTCCCCTAGAGCTGGCACCCTGAATTTGGACTGCTAGCCTCCCAGACTGTGAGAGAATAAATTCCTTTTTGTTAAAGCCACCCACTTGTGGTATTTCTGCTATAGCAGC